CTTCACGCCTGTAACCCCTGAGAACATCTTCAATGGCGGTAGAATACGAATCCTCGGGGTGCCCCTTGTTGGGGATGGATGGGAAAGATTCATCCGTGATTCTATAAAAATCGCAATCGGCAAGAAAATGATTGCACGCTTCCCCAACTTTCCGATCTACCTCTGGAGAGATACGATTACAAATTGCAGGAATCACATACTGAAAACCCTAAAAGTAAGATAAGATATTTTCCGTCTCTCTTATTTTAAACAATATGTTTGTGATGTTAATCCACATGTATGCCTAACTGTGGCCTTCTACAGGTTGGGAAGAAATTGTACAGACTGCCTTACTATTTGGACTACATCGATGGCTAAATGACCTCGATGTCAAATCGTGTCACAGTCACTTTACCTTAAATGACGCCAGGAGAGGATGAGGCTTAGAAAAACGAACTAATTATTACCAACTGTCCTTTATTTCAAGAAATATGAGAACGTAAACAAATATTTTGATGGGAAATGTTCTTGCTTATGATGTGTTTTTGAATTAGTGACACGAAATAGTGATTTATGCCCAGGCGTTTTCTAACACCTTTCCCGAGTGCAAACCATTTTGAAACAGAGCATAATTGTTTGTGAACAGCTGACATTTATTGATTTACAACACGGCATGTGCATGTGAAAGACCTCCTGCCATGGGTGCTTGCTCAAAGCAAAGCCCATATGTGCGCGTTTGATTAGGTACCACGTGATATTTGGTGTGTGTTTCGGGCGTCGACCATAGGCACCCAAAATCTCTGGGCATGAGCCACATATGATGGAGGCAGGGAAGTAACAGCTAAACTGACCACATTAATAGAGTATTACATGTTTCACATGAATCACCCCCGACCCCACCTTCAGCTGATGATTAAAAAAAAAATTAAAACGTGACGAATTTTCTGGATTCCCAAACGACCAAAATTTTTGCACTATCAATTAAAAAGGGAAGACAGTTTTTAAAAGCCATTAATATACCATTCTGGTGTAAGATTCTGCATGAATTTGATGCACATTACAGATGTACATGTACATCTTTATCACAAACATCGCCCCGTATACAGTGCATGTACTGTAGCCCCCAAATTTCCACGGCCAGGCAAGACATGCTCCAACCTTTCCACAGGCCTCATCCCCTCGACGTTCTAGCACATATTGCAATGTAACGTAAAATTTGGGATTTCTGTAAAAACTTGAGTGATGTACTTTCCCCCTTTCCTGCAGGTTTTTCGCTTCGAAGATGCTTTTATCAAAATCTATCCAAAAGGCAAAGGAATCTGCCCAAGTGACCTCATTTTGACCTACGCTTACTACTTCGAGCATGACCGCTACTCTTGGCACATAGATGTCGAAAAGAAATCCCTGGCAAAATACAACCAACGCCGAGTGCCTGCTGGATTCGAAATCAGAAGGAATGAAACAGAACCTGGATTTCTACAAGTCACAACACACAAGTCATACATTTTCATGTTTCGAGGCTTCTGCATCGCAAAGCGGTACGTGGGCACACTTCCTGCTAACTGCAAGATGTACGAAAACACTACCAACTTCCAACACTTCAACGCCATTCACGACCACCTCAAGACGTGGTGTGCTCCCGGCAGAGGACGGGCAAAGTGTGCCCAACTTATTGAATCACACTATCAGAACTTCGCCAGGTATTACCGATCAGGAATGATGGACCTGGACCTTCAACGTGTGTATGCTGTAGAAGAAGCAGCGAAGAGGGAGAATATTTCGTGCCCGACAGTTTTTAGATTCTAATAAGCTATTTCTGGTCTTGCTAATTTGATGACTGGATATTAGGGTAAGAGGGGAAAGTTTTTTTTGCGAAGTTAAATTTGTTAATTATCGATTCGAAAAAACCTTCAAAGTATACTGAAGTTGTGTCCCAGTTAACTTTATTTTCTACTTTTGTTTGATTACTTCAAAGAGTACTTTACTGCCTTTTTTGTTTGTATGCTAATGAGTATTTCCGTATTTAAGAGCAAAACTGTGATGTTATCCGGAGAAGAACAGAGCCTTCATATTACAACAGCTTGTACACTAAAAGTCCTGCAGTTTTTTACATTTGGCGGACTTAATTTTCTCTTCGTTGCTAATTCATGGTTGTTCTCAGAAATGTGTAAATTAATTCTGGGTTCGAAATTTGGACAGAAAAACCTATGCACTGAACTATGTCTTCCCTGAATGTCATCAAATCAACAGCACCCTTTCAGTTGTCAAGGAAAGTATGGATTTCAGAAGTTCTGAAAAAAATGATTTTTTCCCAAAAATTAAAAAAATGCACTTTTCCCTGGACTTGTCCAAATATGAATATAAAACAGTCTCCAAAAATGAAGAAGCAAACAAAGGTGCAAAAAACGTAGGCTACATTCTAACTTTACTAAGATACAGGTCATAAAAGACTTTTAATATTTTATTTTTTAGTTCAATGTTTGTTTGGATTTCGCTTTTCATTTAGATAATAGGGCTCAGCCTTACCAGCTCTGTAAAATCTTTCTCCCCTTTCCTTCCCGACAATAATTCTGGAAGCCATTTTTAAAACATGGTACAACCCATGAACTTGAATATTGTTCGGCAGAGCGATGTTCGCTTGTACTACGAACGCCCTATATAATCCATAGATCTTACGCAAGATTAAACTACAAATCCTTCAATTTAAGCGTTGAAAATGCCGCGCTGTTTTTCTCAATTTTTCACAAAGAAGTTTACTCAATCATGAAACAGGTGAATTGAATGTAAGTTGCAGTGAATATTACACACCGTAATCAGCCAATCTTGTGAAATTAATATAAAAAAACAATGGTGTACACCACCTTTAAGCGTGCGATCGTTTTCAAATGCATCCTTCGGAATCCGGTGGACTGCATACAATGACATTTGGTTTTAGAATGCTGGGAACAAAAGGAGATGTTACATTTCAACAAAGCTTGGTTTCCAAAGAGAAAGAAAACAAAAGAAATTACATTTTGGGCGCGAATTCCCATTCAGATGAAGGGTAGATTGGTTTTAACCCCTTCTTACAGTTTCAAAAGTACCAAACAGAAGCAAGTAGACTTTAAGGTTACACTGCACTGCAAAATTGCCTTCTGGTTTCACATTTTTATTCAAAGAAAATGTTCCAACAGAAATGGCCCAGGCAAAGCAAAGGGACATCCAGGGTGCTAAACCTAATTAAGAGATAAACTAGACGGCTTCCAACAAACTTATACAAAACAACTTACAAATTATACATGATTGGTAGCAAGCCGTCCAGCACAAGGTGTGTCTCCAGTAACAGTTGACACAGAAATGCCTTACTCGGAGTGCCCGGAGAAAAGTTGCAATAGCGAGTATGGACTGGAAACCAAATGCACTTCAAGCCTGGGCCAAGCCGGGACTCAAACCCAAGCATCATTGGTGCAAAGCGAAGAAAGAACTGCTACGCTAACCCGCTCCCCTCCTCCAATTGTTCCTGGAGACACAAGGAAACTGTAACAAAAAAAAACATTCTTTTGCAATAGCTAGAGGCGAATGGGGACAAAAGAAAGAATGGGTAGCCAAGACCACTCTGGCACTCCCAGACCCACGCATAGTTAAACTACAAAAGCAACAAAGAGACTATATAAAGAAAGAATGGGTCTGGCCAGAGTGGCAAAGACCACTCTAGCACTCCCAGACCCAAGCCTAGTCAAACTACAAAAGCAACAAAAAGACTATATAAAGAAAGAATGGGTCTGGCCAGAGTGGCCAAGACCACTCTAACACTCTGAGACCCACGCATAGTTAAACTAG